TAATTTTGTTTAGGGTCTCAAAAATGTTCAAATAACTTTATACATTATCGATAGTTAATAAAGATTTTAAACAAATAATAATTAATTAATAACCACCCGTATTATTTAAAAATACTTAATAATAATCCTTCAAACAATATATACAAAATTATCTTACAAACGAATACATTTAACCGCAATAAGGCAATAACTAGATCTAGATAGTCTTGCAAACAGGAAAAACCCCAGAGTACAATCGAAGACTATCCACATCGCAAATGTTCAGCCATGCACCATTTGAATTTCTCTGAAGGAGAAATCATGACAAGATTATTTGATCCCGACGCTACAATCCCAATACCGGTTGTCCTCCAAATTGTAATTTCCCACCAGTGTAAGCATAAATCTTAAAACAACTAAAATAGCAGACAATATATATGTTTATGCATGTCTTTCTCTTCTCCTGATCGTCTAGAATCAATGGAGTTGCTTATTTTGTTCTTGCAGTTATGATCCCTTCAATGGATCCCACCAGTGCAAACAACGTTATGGGAAGGCACAGGATGCTGAAAGTCTGAAGCATCACCCACTTAGTCGACCAGGCTTCCACGTTCCTCTGCTTGAAGTACATCTGCACTGGAAAATATATTGACACAGGCCAAAAGTAAATGCCTCCCAGCACTCCCAAAACTTGGTTGAAATACGGGAACAACATGGCGATTATTGTTGTCGAAGCTACGAACATGGTGCGGAAACACATCCGGAGAATGCTTAATCGAAAAACTTTCACAAGTGGGAGTTTCACTTTGAAATCCTTGTGTATGTATCCATTGTCGGGGAATTTCTGAGAAGCCCATTTTTCAACGTTCGCAAACAGTGGTTGACTGTAAACCTGGTGAAATAAGAGCATGGACACAGAACACCTATGTTATCCGGTCGGATTCGGGTGTGTGTCTAACTGTCTATGCATTTGAAGGATTTTAAGGCCATATTTATATATATGTACCCAAGAATGATGATGTGTAGCTCAACCAGAAAATCTAGTACCTGATATCCTCCAACTAGGTGGATAACAATGCACACATTCGCAAAGTCGATGAGCCAATATGGTTCGTAAAATCCGAAACCAGTCAAGAGGTTCCCTGGTGTATTATCGCCGAAGGCTGCATATCCAAGCGCTCCACAACAGATATAGAAGAAGGTTGTTGCAGAAATTGATATCATTGAGGCTGTCTTCATGGTGTCCATCTCCGAGGGAGGCGACAAAGTATCCTTCAAATTCCGAAAATTGTAATCATCATCAGTTCAGCATGTAACAAATCAATTATCATTTCGAAATCGATATGAACTCATGTTTAATGGAGGAGACCTGAATCTCAATAAGAATTAGGGAGTATGGATAGGCAAATGCTACGTCTCCAAGTGCTTGAGAAACCAGCCAGACTTTTTCACCAGTAGTATGTTGAGATTCCTCGGATGGAACCCATAGCAAAACCATTTGCTGCAATTTTAACGAGCAAAATCGGTAAGATCATTGTCAAGTTCTTTCAAATATTCTACAAATGAGAAATCTGTATGTAAAAATATCTAAGGTTCATCATTTTACCTATGACTTTAGTGATGCCAAGTGCAAGACCAATGACAGAATAAGCAAAGGACATGATTGCAGCAACCACTGATAGCCATTCTATGTTGCGGAAATTATTTATCTGAGACAGTATTAATTGAATAGCCCCGAAAGCTAGCATGTATTGAGCATCTCCGAAATAGCATTCAGCATCATGCCCTTCTTTGTGGTAACAGTTCGATTTTTGAATTGCTCTGCATTCACAAGTAGAACAGGCATTGGCAACCAAACCATACCTCTCAAAAGAGGAGAATCATAGCAACAACCTATGTCACTCGGAACCGGGTGTGAGTATCCTTGGGAGGGTCTTTTCATGTATGTTCATTCTTTTCAAGGTTTTTTCATGTATGTGGAAGGTCCTTCGAGAGTCGTATCTCATACTCTTGTTTATATATGCATCGGTAGGTAGTTCAAGAAAATCAAAGTCGAAGTAACATAAAAGCAGCGCCTTTTCAATGAACTAGTCATACAAAATTAGGATCGAGCAGTGGGAGTAAAAGGAACTTGACAACACACCTCAGGCTAATAGCAGATGTAACTGTATATGCTATTCCCATACCATACAAGCCTATTTGAACAAAAAGGCCGCAAATCCTTGCATTCGTTTGCCCTGAAATCCATGATAAGCAACTAGAATTTATTACCAAAAAGCATAAATACTGTAGTAATTACTAGCTAGCAAACAAACAGTGAAGTATGGTCTTAGTAGCTGTAGCCATTTGCTTTCAATATAAGGGATTGGTCTCTTTTAAATCAGTGGAATGGTTCTGGCGCATGATTTTGACTGAAAATTACTTGGATTTTCAAGTTCTTTTTCCTATTAATAAAACCAGATCAGATTTGATTTTAAAGTTTAAGCAGTTCAGAAATTCTTGGAGATTAACGAATCCCTGATGCACACATTACATAGCCTAGGCAAGGTATAGTATGGTTTTTCTAAATACCAGAAGAAGATGGTCCAGACAAAGTGGACACTCGGGAAAAGGATTACGTAAAAGAAAGGAATTTAGTGATCAAAGTGTCGGACACTTCAGCACTATATGATCAATCCAGAGCTTCATTAGGGCCCACCACACATCATCATCATCACCACCATATTATCCAGCAGCAGAATAAATATTCATGATGATGATCATCATCACAACATTTAAGAAATAACCAAAGAAATTCAACTTGACGTGTCAAACTAAAAGTTTCTTTCAAAAATAATAACTGGATTTTTCATTTTAAAAAACGTTCGTATTTAGATAAATTATATGAAATATATTCATATCTAAAATATAGATCTGGATTTATATTTGACGCTTAAATTCAAATTTAGCTAATTATGATGAATCTAAATCCCTGTGGATTTTCCCTTAATGCTGGATTAGACTACAAAAGAGTGATGAAAAGAAAATTCTTGCACAACTGTAGAATTATGAAGATAAAAACTATCTAATCCTTTTCTCTATGCAGGATTCAGCGATTTAATCTACCATTTCCCATCTACCAGTCTTTTAAAAGTATTGAAAATCATTAAAAAGATATTTTGAATTCTTTAAAAAAAATTCTGGATCATACGTATTTATGATAAACTGTTTAATAATCTCACCTAAATTGATATTAACGGCATCGATGTAGGACCGATTTCTGACGGGTCCAACTTCAGGATCGGGAGTTTTATAACAGTTGCAGAGAAGGTAAGTGGAAACCAAAGTGACCGATGCGAAGAGCAGCATTGCCAAAGGTCCGGCGATCCACCCCAGTTGAGCCATGCTCCACGCCAGCGATAGCACACCGGCGCCTATGACGCCCGTTATTATATGCGCCACCGCCGTCCATACGTTCCCTTCATCGAAATTTCAAATGATGGAATTAATTTCATGTTAAAATAATGATCCAGAAGTGGAAATGATCATGAAATCGCCGAATTCTATTTGGAAAGAAATTAATACTGAAAGTAAGGGAAACATATTACTTACCAGTTCTACGGGGAGGCTTACGAGGTCGTGTCTGATTCGTATTGGCCAACAACGGGGCTTGATGATCTGAATGTGCTTCTTCCATGGCGTTTTTAATTAGAAGTGAGACACTCTATTTATTCTAGCTCCGTTACCTTCTAAAAAAAATGAAAATCGGTTTATATTTATAGATGAAGATCACGTACAAAGAGGCAACTCTGAATTTGAATCACATTGAAGAAAAAGATGCGATGTGTAGTACTTTCGTGTTGCATGATTAAGCCTATGTAAACTATCAGAATTTTACTGAACTTTCTTGAAGCTTTAATTAAAAATAGGAATCTCAAAAGCATGCTTAATACGACTATCATCCTTAAAAATGTACTAAAATCGTTACGAGTCACGATGTGGTGGTTATTGATCATTTCTTATAATTATATAGTCGAGATTTAATTCTTATCTAGGAAAATATCAGTTATTTATCCGAAAATACCACAATAAACCATATATATGATGACATTTTCATGCTCATCATAATATAAATTATTAAATAGCATGGGAAATTCTATTTGGTGGTGTTTGCGTGTTTGATTTTTATTAGTTTGGTGTAAAATAATTGTAGGAAGACGTTGTCATGATTTCAACATGGCAATAGCTAGATAACTGCACACCTTTAAGGTTACATTTCCCTCTAAAGAAGAAAAAGACAAAATCAGCACAACTTAATTAATAATGATGGAGGCTGGGTTTGTGCAGCTGTAAGGCTAAGAATCCAAGCTTAGCCTTACAACTCACTTCCATGGCTATCCAATAATCCAAGCTACAACAACTTCTATTAATGAAAATAATTAACCTGATCTTCAATTATCACAAGCCAACGCAAAGGACTCAAGTATCCACCTCAGACTTGTTCTGCATTCAAGGATTTAGCTTGTCATGGCGGAATGTATCAACAACTCGACCTCTTATTGCACTTTGCCGATGTTCAACCACATTAATTTTTATTGGAAGTACCATCTGGATCTTTCTGCCACGAGTGTCGCGAAGGGAAAGGACTTGCTTCCCCCGCATTACCGCCATCAACGTCAGAGAACGCTAGTGGCAGCAGTCAACAGCTGATATGAAGCACTTGCTTATCGAACTCTGATGATATGATGCTACACCAGCACAGGTTGGAACATTCAGGGGTGAATTGATCTATATATTGAACATTGCACTTCCATCTAGTGTTTATCTGAACATAACACTGTAGTTTCCAACAACTTCTAACTTATCACAGCGATATGAACAAATTGAGTCACATATGCAGCTGACGATCTTTACACTATCTTTGATACATTTCAAATCAAGATTGATATACCATATTGTAATATGAGGTCGAGAAATAAGGTGGCAGTGGATAAATTTGCAGAAAACCCCTTCTCGACCATTTCTGTAAGAACTTCTGTTGCCTACGACATATAGCTGTTTCGAAGAAGCCCTTGGATCATTACATTATAACAGCAGCTATTAGGCGAGCAACCATTCTCTTCCATACTCCTAAACATTTGGTATGCTTCATCTGGCAATCCCACTTTACAGAATCCTTTAATGATTAAAGTATATGTGTAAACATCGGGTATTAAACCCTTGACTGAGAGTTCACCAAATACTTCCTTTGCCACTTCGATATGGCCAGCTTTGCTGCATTGCTCGGAAAACTTTCAATGCCTCTTCAAGTTTACCACCTCTGCAGCAACCATCCAGCAGAATGGCACAGGTCACTAGATCTGGAACTTGTCCAAAAGCCAACATCTTTCTCCAAATTTCACCTGTAGCCGAAATCCTCCCTAATTGAAACATACCTTGCATAAGAGTGGTGTGTGACAACATTAGGCTCAATCCTTGCTTTCATTGTGTCGACAACATCTTCAGCTTCAAAAAAAACCACTGCTTTCTTACAATGTGCATCACCAATGTGTTATACATGACAACATCTGGCTCAATGCCTTGCTTTCTCATTGTGTCGAAAATATCTTTAGTTTTAGAAACCATCCCTTTCTTGCAACGTGCATCAACCAATGTGCTGTACATGACAACATCAGGCTCAATACCTTGCCTTCTCATTGTATCAACAATAACTTCAGCTTCATAAACCATTCCCTTCTTGCAATACGCATCAACCAATGTAGTATACGGGACAACATCAGGCTTAAGGCCTTGCTTTCTCATTGTATGAACAGTATCTACAGCTTCAAAAATAAGCCCTTCCTTGCAATAAGCATCAACCAATATTAAATGCCCTAAATATAGTATAGTTGCCTTGCCACTTGCCGTTATTAAGAGTTCTAATGAACTTCCATTGATGCTTTTATTAGTTTGAGGCAAAGCTGGTATATTTCTTTCTGTTATGCATTATATATTTTTATGCTAGAAATTTTTATATGAACTTTAGTTAATGTATTTGCTTAAATATGTTTTACCTGCAGGAAGCAGCTAAAAGGTTCAGCCCTCATCACGGAGAGAGGGATTCTCTACAATTCCAAATGTAAGTGGGAGGATGTTGGTGGTCTTGATTTCCTAAGGCAGGAATTCGATCGTTATATAGTTGGACGCATAAATTTCCCGAGGAATAGCGGTAATTGTATATTGTTTCTACCTCTTTGCTGTATCCAAAAAAAGGAAGAAAACCCTTGAACATAGAATTATATTATTGGGGGCCTCGTAATGTGATAAATGAAAGAAAGTCATCCATGAGAAATTGGTTAGAGAACTCGTTGAACTTGTCTACCATGACCTCCAACGTAGTTGATTGAAAGCTCAGAGCAACTACAACCGAAGCATATTTACTTTGTTAGTCAACTTGCTATTATAGTATTGATTTTCAAATTCTTGTGTTGTTCACAATTTCAGGAATTTGGAGTGGACTTGGAGACAGGATTTTTGCTTTATGGACCACCAGGCTGGGGTAAAACGTTGATTGCAAAGTCTGTAGCTAATGAGGCTGGAGCCAATTACTTTGTTAGTCAACTTGCTATTATTAGTATGATTTTCAAATTCTTGTGTTGTTCACAATTTCAGGAATTTGGAGTGGACTTGAGACAGGATTTTGCTTTATGGACCACCAGGCTGGGGTAAAACGTTGATTGCAAAGTCTGTAGCTAATGAGGCTGGAGCCAATTTCATTCACATCAAGGTCAGCTTACAGCATGTATTTCGACTGGTTTTCTGTCTGTTATGATGTTAACTGGGTCTATAATACATTAAGCTAGTTTCCCCATGTTTGTGCTTTCATGCTCATGAGTTCCTTTTCTGATTAGGGCCCTGAACTTTTGAATAAATATGTTGGAGAAAGTGAGCTGGCAGTTCGGACATTTCAGCCGTGCTAGGACATGTTCTCCGTGCATATTTTTCTTTGATGAGGTCTGCTTTTTGATTCTAAATGAAAGAAAAATTCTGGAGAAAACATTCCTATTGTGAGGTTTGATGTTTGTTTAGGGTCTTTCTGATCTTATCTAGGTGGATGCTTTGACCACAAAGTGAGGGAAAGAGGGGGGATGGGTTGTTGAACGACTCTGAACCAGGTTAGTTAATATGTTATGGCTGTCTCTAAGCGAATTGATTACCACTTCCTATCTTTCCATATAAAAATTACAAATTGCAAATAGTGACATGGAAGCATCCGTCATATTTTCAGTTGCTCATTGAATTAATGGATGATCAGCGGCGCGGTGTTTATGTTATAGGTGCCACTAAGAATAGTATGTTTTCGGTTTTTCTGATGAAGACCATCGATTATCATTTCTTTACACTGTTTGGTTTTGGCAGACCTGAAGTGATGGATCGAGCTGTTTTACGGCCTGGTAGATTTGGTAAACTTTTGTACCTCTTCCCAGTCCTGACGAACGAGGGTTGATCTTAAAGCTCTTGCTAGGAAGAAACCGATAGATGCTGATATAGATTGAGTGCAATTGGACGAATGGAGGCTTGTAATTTAAGTGGGGCTGATCTTTCTGCACTGTATGCCTGTTTTTTTTTCTACATTGAAATTCTAGGACCTATGAAGTATGCACCATGCAAGGACTGATTTTTTTTTGAGAGACCAATATACCTGTTTGACGTTTAAGCAATTAAACCTTAATTCCGGAACAAAATAGTGAAATTTTAATCGCATCGGGGCTTGAAAATATACAGATGAATGAAGCAGCCATGGGTGCACTGGAAGTGAACCGACTCAACAGGGATATCTGAGGCTTCATGGACAATCAACATTGCATTTCGAGCATGCACTGAATAAGATCTCACCATCAGTGTCCGGTAAGGTATAATTTACTCTCAGTCACTGCATCTTGGCTTCTGATGAAAATATTCTTCTTGATAGCAGGGGAGGGACTGTTAATTAACATGTTTATACCATCTTGACTTATTGGAACAGCAAAAACAGTTCTATAAGGTATTGTCAAGAGCTTCAAAGCTGGTTGATAAGGTAAATCCCCATTGACGTGCCGTTAACTGGAGCTTTATTGATGTCTGATAACCAACACCTGAAGACTGCTTGATCACCATTCTAATCGTTGTGAATTATTCTTTGGGAGCGACGTTCATTAACAATTAAATTGATTAGGATGAAATTATTTTTAAGACTGATATAATAAAGTTATTTATTTTCTTCGATCCATGTATTACCATCATTACTGATGTTCTAACGAAGATAACATAACTGATGGAACACATGCAATGCAATGATATCCCATAACCAAAATTAAGAATGCTAACAGTACCCCCACTCGAAGATAATCAAAAGTAGAGACGTCCAAGTAATTACATCGTACTTCAAGTCCAATGAGAACGTTTAGCTTGCAAAATGGGCAGCAAACTCTCTTTTCGCCATCTTTCCGGTTACTGTTATCTTTGCAAATTAGCCATGAATTACTTATATTTGCCGTCCTTAGCTTTTAGTGACACCATTATAAGTTGAGGTTAAACTAGCCACTAGTAAAATTACCCGATCATAAAATTATATTTTGTTATTGGATTAATCGTTTTGTATTATTTAGTGACTAAGTCTTAATTTTTAGTAAAAGGATGACATGACAAACCAATAATTGAGATAAAATACCCTTAGTCCTCAACATTTACGTTCTTTTACCAATTTGGTCCATAATTATAAAAGTTGCCTTCGATATTTTTATAATTTTTCAGTTTGGTCCCTAAAATTATTAAATAAATCAATCCTAGTAAAAAAATTAGATTTATTGAATAAATAAAGATATGAAGCTGCACCAGGAGAGGTTGGAACATTCATGAGTAATTGATCTGCATTGAAAATTGCATTTCCATCCAGTGTTTATCTATCTAAACATAACAGTGTAGTTTCCAACAACTTACATCTTATCACAGCATTATGAACAAATTGAATCAATATGCAACTGACCATCTTTACACTATCTTTGCTACATTTCAAATCAAGATTGATTTGCCATATCGTAATATGAGGCTGACGACTGAGGTGCAGTGCATAAATTTGCAGAAAAACCCTTACCAACCATTTCTGTTACAACTTGTGTGCCTTTGACGTATAGTTTTTTCCAAGAAGCCCTTGGATCATTACATTATAACAGCATCTATCAGGCGAGCAGCCATTATCTTCCATGCCTAACAATTGGTATGCTTCATCTGGCAATCCCTTTTTACAGAATCCATTAATGATTACAGCATATGTGTAAACATCGGGTTTTAAACCATTGACTAAAGAGTTCACGAAATACTTCCTTTGCAACTTCGATACGGCCAGCTTTGCACAAGCCATCAATTAGGATAGTATATGAGACAATATTGAGCTCAAACCCACTGTTCTGCATTGCACAAAAAACTTTCAATGCCTCTTCGTTTTACCACTTCCGCAGCAACCATCCAGCAGAATGGAACAGGTCACTGGATTTGGACCTTGTCCAAAGCAACATATTTCTCCAAAGTTCACATGCAACTGAAATTCTCCCTGATTGACACATACCTTTCATAAGAGTGTTGTACGTGACAACATTGGGCTCAATGCCCTCCTTTCTCATTGTCTCGACAATATCTTCGGCTATAGAAACCATTCCTTTCTTGCAATTTGCATCAACCAATATACTATACGTTACAACATTAGGCTCAATGCCTTCCTTTCTCATCGTGTCAACAATATCTTCAGCTTCAGAAACCATCCCTTTCTTGCAATGTGCATCAACCAACGTATTGTATGTGACAACATCAGGCTCAATGCCTTCCTTCTCATTTTATCAACAATATCTTTAGCTTCAAAAACCATTCCCTTCTTGCAAAGAGCATCAACCAATATAGTATATGACAACATTAGGCTTAAGGCCTTGCTTTCTCATGTGTGAACAGTATCTACAGCTTCAAAATAAGCCCCTCCTTGCAAAACGCATCAACCAATATACTATATGTGACAATATTTGGTGAAATATTGTTCCATCATTTCATTCAAAAGCTTTGTTGCCCCTTCTGCAGGCCCAAATTACACATAGCATGAATTAAGCAACTGTAGGTAATGATGTTTGGTCTATTGCCCTTAACTTTCACTTCGGAGAAGAGATCGAGAGCCTCATTTAACAACCGCACTTACAAAGACAGTCGATAACAGAGTTATATGCTACAATATCGGGTTTGAAACCTCTTGTTTCCATCATCCTTAGAAACCTAACAGCTCTATGTCACCGGTCTTACACAACCCGTTAAGTATTGTACTGTAAGTAATTAAATGAGGTTGATACCCTTTTTCAACCAATCCATCAAACAAACTCATAGCCTGATATATCTTCCGTTGTTTACAAAGTCCATTAATCAAAGTGGACAAAGTTACAGCAGAAGGTTCAATGCCTATCTTTATCATTTTCCCCAAAACAGAAAACCCAATCAGTTTGACCTAATTGACAAAAACAATTAATCAAGACGCTCAAAGAAAGCGTCATGAGGAACTCCTACGATGTCCATCTGGCTACACATAGAAACAACAGTGGAATAATGTTTCATTCGAACAATGGCTCCTAATAGTTTTAGTGAATTCCACAATCGAAGGCTTTGGGCATTTATGAATCATCTTATTAAACAAATCCAGAGCTTCACCGACATTATCAAAGCTGTCATAATTTTCCCGGTTTCCCTTTACAGGCATGCAATTACCTAAAGCTTTAGCAACGGTTCTAAGAGAAGAAAAGAAGAGTGAAAAATAGAAAAAATCATTAGACCGTTAATAACTAAAGGAGGAAGTGACGAAGAAATAAGCTTACCCATATCTTGAAGTTATGGAAAAGCAAGGGGATGAGCTTCGAATGAAACCACAAATAGTGGGGCAGTAGCACGTTCTCTACGACACCAGAGGTATATGACTTTGAAACTTGGCTTAATACACCATTTACCTGTTTCCTTATCTAATCCTACTTTTAACAATAATGCCCCTAAACTATACAAACTTATACTTTTATCAAAAAAAAGTCCTTTATTTATTTATTTATTTATTCATTATTATAAATGTTTGACAGGACTTGATCCAAAACCTTTTCAAGATAAAGTTTTATTAACTAACATTTAACCAAATAATCAACTTAAAATCTTCAAATAATTTTAAGTAATACATGAAGAGTTTGCCACCAATGGATCATTTTTATCTTCTTCACCCATGTTTGCATCAACAAGTTTGTTTGCTTTTTAATAATCTAAGAGGATTACATACTATTTGTTCAAAAAAATTAACTATAATATTAATTAAATGAAAAAAAGAGAAAAATTTACGTCATTTAGCCAAAATAACCAGATTTATCAGCAAAAGTCTGACAACAATGCCAACCAATGAATTAAGGAGCGTTTGTTTTGCGGAAAAGATATTTATTAAGGGGAATGATCTTTTTAGAATTGTATTTTTATGTTTGATTTATTGAAAAGATCATTATCATCATGTAATAACTTATTTCAATAGTAATACTTTTAGGTTAAAATGGTGAGAATGTCATTACCTTCAAATTCTTAGGTAAAGAATAATTCTCACCCCTTTGGATATTAATACCCTTGAAATAATTTTTATATAGATCATTCTTAATTCTTATTTTTCGTACTTTGCTCAAAATTATATACTTAATAATAATAATATACAAAGAGTTTAATTAGTAAAATACTGATAAATCTATGCAGTTAAAATTATTTTATATTTTTTATATTTAGTATATTAATTATTTATAATTTTATAAGATGAAAATATTGTTATGATAAAAAATATAATTATTTAAAATAATATTTAATTTTGAGTTATTAAAAAATATCTTATACATTAAAAAATAATATATTTTTTCACTCGAGATAAATTTTTTTCTTTCTTATTATATATTTTATATAAATAAATAGATACTTATGAAAATTAAAATTATAAATTTAATATATAATCATATGTTAAATGTATTTTTTCTTTAAACTTACACATAGTGTAATACTAAAATATTTTTATAAATTTTAATTTAAATATTTATAATTTAATATTAAAATTTTACTTGTTAAAATATATATATATATATATATATATATATATATATATTACAAGGATAATTTAGTAAAATATGCATCCAAATAATTTTATATTTCTTCAACCAAACACTGATCTTACCTTCATATTAAGCAAACCAAATATGGTAATACAACTTCTCGGAATAACGTTATATTCCGATAATTTTATTTCCAAATATGATGTTACATTCCGTTAACCAAGCTATTTATTTTCATTGCAAACAATCCCTTAGTAAGCAAAGGGAACGGTGTTAAAAAGAATTAGCGTTACATAACTATCAAAATTTAGAAAAACTATTTCTTTGCCTGCATTATACAGAGTCTCCCCCGATTCACCATCTTGGGCTGGCAGGATGTTTAGCATCACAAGTAGAACAAACCCCCCCCCCCCCAAGTTGTGTCTTTTCGATAATATTAACTGCTCAAACATAAGCAGCTGGAAAAATGGAGTATCTGTGATCGAAAATATTTACAGCGTTGACGTGGGACAAAAGTTCTTTCGGAAACCATCCCTTAATTCAATTGCTTCGTTCACGTTTTGGTGGCTTGTTTTGGTCTGTAAGTTGGAATCAATTACGGTACAACCATTACTAAAACAATGACGAAACCATGAAAGAGAAACCGGAACACGGAAATTGAACCGGAGAAACTTACTAGTTGTAGGATCTTCGTGTGCATAGAAGCTAGCAGCTACTATTAGATAGCAAAGAATGAGCGAGCATTAGTCCTTTGAAGTAGTTCGCCGTTCCCTCCTACAGAAAAAAAGAAACAGAAAGCATTAGTCTTCCAAGTTGCATCATCTTCTTTGAACTATTTTACTCGATCGCAGGTGGAAATATCAAGAATAGGCATGGTCCAACAGGTACATGTTCAATTTTTTCCAAGTTTTTCCAGTCCTTGTATGCGTCAGACACAAATATTTTGAGAAAAACAAAGGGTCGGAGCAACATAATGTTTGAAAATTGCTTCCATTCCTGACGAAAAAGATAATCGTTGCCCGTTATTACTTTCCAAAGTCATTGATATACACCAACCTGCAGAAAGAAGGCTACAACTATAACAGTTATGAATAGTGTTGCTGTCTCGAAAACCCATCATCCATCCAACAACCACACAAAAAGGAATCTGCATATTCAACAAGAATCTGATCAGCAAACCAGGCAAAACAAACACGTTACCATGAATAAATATGCATGTATCTACAATACACAACACACGTACACATCACGATTCAGTTCAAATTCAGGATCAAAGTTGAACAAAATTCCAGGACTTTAAACATTGTCTATGCACGATCATCATGTAAAAGATGGAGATTGCTAAATAATCAACAAAAATGAGTAAACCCCTAAGAGAACAGATAAGAACAAAATATGTTCTTCAGTACTCGCTGCCAGGAAACAAAAGAACATATCACAAAGGAACCCCAAAAAGCTCCTGACATTAGATGACACTATAAAAACAAAATGTAAAATTAATACACAATAAGCACATCAAATGTACGGACCTACCCGAACATAGAAATTTGAGTCGATATCCTATTGCCACTCCCAATGTTATATCCTGAAAAGAAGTTTATTAATTAGAAGCCAGACAATTCTATGAGATGAAAGTTCGAGAATCGCTTACAACTTGTCTTCATGACAAACATAATAGCACTTGCGTGCTCTGCGGCATTTCCAGTAATGGGGAGCAAGATAACACTGATAAATGCAATCGATAAATCCCATGCCTCAGATGCCCCCTGATAAAGAACAGTCAAAAGGAGAAAGAAAATAAAAGTACTCAACCTATCCGATGATATAATTTTAGAAATGCAAATCACCTAAAATACATCGTTACATGTATGTATCCATAAAATAGCCTGATAGAATGGAGATCCAGCAGTCAAGACTGTAAGCCAAATCACGGATTCCCATTTGGTGATCTGCGGAGCTTCATCGTCTTCATTATCTGAGCCTTCCCCATCGCGACTTCCTTCCTGATATCACACATTTGCCACTACACTTTATATCTTCAATAAATACTTTTTGGGGCGAATAGCAAACAAGTACTTATCATATTCAAAAATGCCAAAACAACAATAACCAACCTCGTCAATAGGGGGATAGAAATCATTTCGACTTCTTAACTGGAAAAAAAGATAGGCAGCATAGGCTACAAGCATAATACAACTGCTAAATCTTGAAAGAGCCAACTCTGACTTCCCCACTTGCCGTTCAGTGTGTGTTTAGTGGAGGACAGCTGGGTAGTAAACCCATAACTGCCATCAGCAGTAGTGCTGAATTGACAACACCTGTGGCAAAGTTAGATAGCGTTGGTTCGTTTAATTCCTTAAAATTAAATGGAATTAGAATTTAATTTTACCACTTTCATATGTTTGGTTCAAATTTTTAAAGAGAAAATTGGAATTCAATTCCATCAAATGAGGAAAAAAATTCATCCAACATAATGGAATTGAAATCCTTTGGAATAGGATATGAAATTTGATCATATTACCCTCATCAATCTTTTGGTATTCGGGTTAGATTTTTAAAAAAAATTTGGATCGGGTTGGATTTTTTTTAAAAAAGTCGGTTCGGGTCGGATTTTTTTAAAGTTGATATTCAGGTCGGGTCGGTTCGGGTTTTTTTAAGTGTGATATTCGTTCGGGTTCGGTCGGTTTTTTTTTAAAAATCGGGATCAGGTCGGATTTTTAAAAAAAATTCTGGTTCAGGTCGGGTTTTTATGTGTGATATTAGGGTCGGGTTTAGGGGTCAGTCGAGTTTAGGATTTTTTAAGTCACTGTTTTATTGAATAAAAATAATATTTTTATTATTTCATGTCGGGTCAGGTCGAGTTTCTAATTCATATATTCGAGTCGGGTCGGGTGACTTTATTTTAGTCGGGTCGAGTCTCGGGTGGACCAAAAACCCGACTCATGGTCATCTCTAATTGCGATGATTTTAACTTATGTTTTATTACGTGATTTTTATAATTTTATTGAAATGAATAATTAATCAATAAATAAAAATTTAATATTTTTTAAATTTTTAATATATGCTACTGCAAGTTATAAAACAAACTAAAATAAAGCAAAAAAAAATAAAAGAAATTTCTGTCATTTACATTACTAAAATCAAATTCATCTGACATGTCTGCGAACCAACAGAATATGTAATTGGATTTCAATTTAATTTTCTGCAGATTTCAGATTCAGATTCTAATTCCTGACAGATTCTAATTTCTTCACAGAATTCCCTCAAAAATATTCTGACGAACCATACGCCTACTTCGTTTATAGCGACAAGACAAAGAAAAATAGCGGAAATTAATGCAAGCTACATACCGATGTATCCT